TCCCCTGCCCCCTCCTCAGACATCCAGCCTCACCTCCCAGAGCCCCGCACTCAGGGATCAGCACACCTGTGCTGGAGAGGGCCGGGTGGAGCACACCAGGCCAGACACAGCTGCCTCTCCCTGCCGGTGTCTCCTGAAAGCAGCTCGAAAAATGAATAAAACTTTATTTACAAAGGCAACCCATGGCTGGACTGGCCCATCCCTCATCAATTTCTACCCAGGCTGGACCTGGGAGCCAGTGGGGACCAGTGGGGGCGGCTTCCGAGAACTGAGTGCGATCGGGAAACAGTGCGAAAGGGTGCGTGACTCAGTTGTCAATGTGTGTCCGTGAGTGTGAGCCCAAGTTTGTGTGTGTGAACGTGAGCATATGGGTATGAGTACATGTTTGGGTGTGAGAAGGTGTAAATGGGTCAGTATGAGTGAGTTGTGTGTGTGAGAGAGTAAATACGTGAGTGTGACATGGGTGGGCATATACTTGTGTGAGTTTATGGAGTGTGTATGAGTGAGCTAACTGCATGTGTGTGAGTGTGTGAGTTGTGACAGATGTAGGCGAATCTATACGTGTGTGCGAGTGTGCATATGCTTGGGTGAGTGTATGAAAATACACACGTGAGTATGCGTGATGTGCGTGTGAGGGAATCCACGTGTGAATGTGAGAATCCGTGAGTATCTATGAAGTGTGAGTATGTGTTTGTGAATATGAGTCCTTAGGTGTGACTGAATGCGGTCTCTGAGTGAGTCTGTTTTGTGGAAGAGTGTTTTTATTGGTCCGTGTGTGAGTTTGGGGGGGGTGATGAGTGTGTGTGAGTGTGAGACCTTGTGAATGAATCAGGGTTTGAGTGAGTCTCTTATGTGAAGGTGAGTGTGTGTGTGATGAGTGTGTGTGTGATAAGTGTGTGTTTGAGTGTGAGACCTTGTGAATGAATCAGGGTTTGAGTGAGTGTGAGCCTTGTGTGTGTGTGTGTGTGTGTGTGTGTGTGTGTGAGACGAGTGTATGTCTGGGAGTGTGGGTCCTCTAGTGAGAGTCTGTGCGTGTTATGTGAGGTGTGACTGTGAGATGCTTGGTTGTGGGGGGGCTGTAGGTGCTCCTGTGGAGATGGGCATCGGGACCAGTGCAGAGTCCCTGGGGCAACAGGAAACAGAAGTGGTGAAATTGAGTGTGAAATGCTCTCTCAGCTATTCTGCCCTCAGTCCCAACCACAAACTGCCGCAAACAGGCCCCCTGGCCCCTCCTCCTTTCCTGTCCCCACCAGGAAGCCCTGCTGGAGCTCCCCCCCCACCTCCCCCTGCCGGGAACCTCCCCCTCGTTGTCATATCCCATCCCACAGGGCTTCCGGCCTTCCCACCAGCCTCTGATAGGCTGAAACCATCAGGCAGAAAGCCCCGAGGCCCTGTGCCCTCGCCCTGCCCAGCCAGCCCTCTCACCACGAGGGAGCATCTGACATGGTGACCCGCAGGGGCTGGAGGGCCGTGTGCTGCCCGAGCCTCCCTGAGCAAGGCCAGGGCCAGAGGGAGCCCTCCATGACTTCCAGAACTCTGGCTGCAAAACTGCCCTGCTCTTGACTCCCATGGTCCCTGCTCTGCCAGCCACAGGGGGTTCTCAGGGCCCCCCTGGAGGGAGATGTCAGGAAGACATCTCAGCTACACCCAGAACCCCAAGGCAGACCCTGTCCACCTGCACCCCAAGTTGATCCTGCTCTCTGCCGAGGGGAGCAACAGGAGTTGAGGGGGGCTGTCTTCCTTCTCTGAAGGAATCCTCACCCTCAGTCCCCAGCCCACGGGGATCCGCTCTGCGTCCCCTCACGACTTCCCCTGGTCTTGACAAACCCTGGGGTCGCGCAGTCGCCCCACACACTCAGCTCTCAACTGAAATGCTGGAGGAAGTCCACCCCCCAGAGCCTCTGAGAAAGGCCCCGGGGTGTCCCAGAGCAGCGGCCACTGGAGACACTGGCGCACACACTTCTTCTCTGGCCCACCTCAGGTGTCTGGAGTCAGAGTCGGTGCAGTGAAAGTAGGGGTTTTTTGTGGGGGGAGCGTAAGCTGTCTTGGAAGCCCACAGGGGCTCACTATGAGTCAGCATCGACTGGGTGGCAGTGAATTTGGTTTTTCGGTTTGTTTGTTTGTAAGTTGTGCACTGTTTTGACCTCTTCTTTCTCCCCCTGCCTGTAGGGAACAAGGGTGCCGTGGGGGTGTCCTTCATGTTCAATGGCACTTCCTTGGGGTTCGTGAACAGCCACTTGACCTCAGGGAGTGAAAAAAAGCTCAGGTAAATAGTTATCCCCTGGAGAGCCTGTATTGGAACACTCACATACACGCACACACACCTACACATGCATATACACATGTCACACACATGCATACATATCACACACACATACACACATCACACATACACACACGCACATACACATCACACACCGGTACACACACACACACACACACACACACACACACTCAGTCTATACAGCCTAGGCTGGGGCCCTCGTGTAACACCTGGGTCCTAAGGTCTCCCTAACGGCAGTTGCCACCCTGTAGTGGTGCCCACATGTGGCAAAGCCGCATCAGCTGCCCAGAGCCGCCCACTCATCTCAGCCTCCAGCACACCCCAGTGGTCCAGCCCTGCAGACGGCCCTCAGAACAAAGCCGCTTACACCCACCGGTCGGGATCCCCTGTTATCACCAGGGGGCATAACAGTCTGGCAACCACAGAAGGTTTCTGAGGGGGCAACGACCAAAGGCAGCATGGGTCTGGGCCGTTCCTGGCAGCACCGGCCCGTGTGCACAGGTTCCGAGGAGAGACGTGTAGGCAGCCCTGATCTAGACTCGTCTCTGCCGGCTCCCCAGCCTGAGCAGATCATCCTCTGCCCCCTGGGCCCTGCCCTCTGCCAGGGATGTGGGGCATTCAGTCCTGACTCCCTGCCCCTGGATGATAGCCACACACAGGGTGGGGATGGTGACATCGTGCCAGAAGGCTATGTTTTTTTATTATTAATCATTTTATTGGGGGGGACTCTTACACATCTCACAACAATCCATCTTTCAGTGGTATTAAGCACACTGGCACCTGTGTTACCATTAATGTTTCCCAAACATTTTCTTTCTGCTTGAGCCCTTGGTATCAGCTCCTCCTTCCCCACTACTTTTTACAGGAGAAACCAGAACTACATGAACATTCTCCGCTTCCTGGCCCTGGGAGACAAGAAGCTGAGCCCTTTCAACATCACTCACCGCTTCACCCACCTCTTCTGGCTCGGGGACCTCAACTACCGCGTGGATCTGCCCGTCTCCGTAAGGAGGCCACTGGGTCCCTCGAGAGGCCAAGGCAGTGACACCCACACACACACACCGCCCCAGGGACTCGATGCTCCTCCAGCGTTGTTTCCAATTCCTTTTGCTTACCGCTCGCTCCCACATAACTACCATCTCCCACCCCTACCCCGCCCCACCCCTGCTCATGGTTGCTCTGCATTATGGGTAGCCATCAGCTGACTGAAGTCACTTGTCCCACAACGTCAAGACAGACTTGTGAGAAGCCTATTCATCTTTTCCCACCAAATCAGGGGCTCACTCTTCAGCCTAAGGAAGCCATTCCTTCCAGAGGATGTCCAGCTGCTGCCCAGTCAGCTCTGATCAGCAGAGCTGGGTGGCCCTGCTCCCTCTGAGGGGGCAGAGGGCAGGCAGTGGGCAGGCACACACCACGGGGCCATCCTGGAATCAGAGCTTGGTTCTTGGGCACTTCTGAGAGATGGTGCCACGGGACGGGCAAAGTTGACTCCCGTGTCCAAGTGGTGCCTGTCTGCCCGGAAGCTGCCGGGAGCAGATCTTTGTCCTCACTGGACAGGCATCTCTCGTTCTTGTTGTGAGGTTGTGGTGGGGTGTATAAGGGAGTCTAGGGAGTCTGTAAGGGCTGTTGAAACCCACCCAGAGGGCCCTCAGAAGACAGGCCTGGAGGTCCATGGATGAAAGGTCACAGCCGTGGAAACTCGGCCCAGCTGTTCGGCTCTGCACAGGCGAGGTCACCACGGGTCAGAAATGACCCAATGGTGGCCAACAACAAACTATACGAAACCATTCGCCCCTTCTCACTGTTCTCCGTGGGCAATTAATTCAGTGGCGCTCGACACGCTGCGTGGCCGCCGCCACCACTGTCCGGGTCCACCCGTTTCCTTCTCTGGCAGGAATCTGAAGTCTTTTCACACGGGCATCCTGTGGAGGGAGGAGGATGGGCGGTAGGAACGGCCCGTTTTACAGATGAAGAAACTGAGCCACACGCGTGTTAAGAAAATGACAATCATTGGCAGAGTTAGGACTGAACCCATAGGCCAGCCTTTCCCTTCTTTGCCACCCACCCGTGGCCGCCATGGAGGCTCTGAGAGACAGGATGGAGCATGCCTGCTCAGTTCACGCCCCTCTTTGCAGCGTCTCCACAGTAGCTTTTTCTCTCCCCCTCCTGACCCACCGGCCAGATGGGACAGGTGGTGGCAGGTATGCCCCCAGGCTTGACTCTCCTCTGTCTGTAAGGGGCTGTACAGCTGTTCACTTGCCCCAAGAAGCCCTAGTAAAGGAAATGACTGCCAACACATCCCTGGGTTCCCCGCTTCCCGCACCCTTCTTTCCTGCCTCCTGAACCTGAGATCACCCTTCAACCTTACACCAAAGCTGTCCCCTGAAAGCTTTCTTGAAATCGACCAGCACTTTAGCTTCTCAGTTAAAAACAAGTCTGCCTTGAGCATTGTGACCTTTTAAGAACTGTCTCTACATGGGGTCAAGTTAGCAAGAGCAACTCACAAGGTCAGATGGGAACCTCAGGGGCTGCGAGTTAGGTAACCGGGGGAGGGACGGCTCAGAAAAGGAGGGTGAGC